CTTCCCCTCAGAGACTCCAGGTCGACAGGTCTCCCGGTGGAGTCCAGCAGGGTCCAGAGTCCCTTAACTCCCATGGTGAGGCCTGCACACGACAACCACCACACCACCACCACGTCATCGTTTCAACCAGAATCAAGAGCAGCAAACATTTTCAGCCTTCGTCAGCGTCACCAGGACCACCATCATCATCATCAGCAGCACATCACCACCACCATCATCAACAACCTTACCACCATCAACATCAGCAACACCATGAAACATCGCCGGCATCACCATCAGCACCTTCACAGCCATCATCAACAAGTACAGCACCCACAAAGCCATCACCAGAATCTGCAGAAGAACAATTACCATTACCACCACCATTGACAGCATAACCACACCAACAGCACATTCACAGCCATGAATGACTACAATCACCAGAATCTGAAACCAGCACCAATGGCACGATCACCACCACCACCTAAAGAACGAATATTACCACCATCAACGTGAATCCATAGCATCATCAACTCCATCTACACATCAGCGGAATTGTCAACAACAGAAGCAACAGCACCTTTATAACTATCGTAGGCAAAGACAAAGATCCCCCGTATAACTGTAGGGTCAAGTGCTGTTAGCGAGCACCTCTGAAGGCCTGAACGGTTCGCTAAGAGGTGGGTGGCCAGCACCACACCCGGCCGCCTTTGTCTCCCCCAGCAGCGATGCTTATACACCCCACCAGGTACTCATTTGAGGCTGAGTCGACCTAGGGGAGGCCCAAGACCGGTTCAGATATTTGTCACTGGTGTTGAGCGGGAATTGAACTCGAATCGCCGGGTTCGTAGCGCAGCGCGCTAACCACTACACCACCGCTCCCTACTATCATAGGCACCGTCATCACCACCACCATCATCATCATCATCCACCACCATCATCATCATCACCACCATCATCATCACTACCATCATCCATCATCATCACCATCATCACCACCACCATTATCACCACCATCATCATCATCACCACCAGCATCACCACCATCACCACCACCATCATCAGCCGGCGTGAAGGTCGTGTTTAGAGAACTCGCTCCGTACAAGTGCAGCCATTTGTCAATCCACTGCTAGATGATGGAGGAGGGGGGGGGAGGGTTCACGGTGCAGCAGCTGTTATTAAACACTGAGGACTGGTAGAGCATTGTGAGTGCGGTACGATGGTATCAAACAATGCACACGAACGGGACCGCGCAGAGTGTGATGTGTGTGGTGTGTTTGAACTTCTTTCGCACCGTACGCAGTCAACCGGAGTGATGCAGAGCCACGGGGGTGGATGGAGATGGTTGCGTGAGTAGAGAGAGTGGAGACTCCGAGACTGAGAGAGTGGGAGGGTGAGAGGGTGAGACAGAGTTCATGTTCATTGATTAGCTATAGCCCTGTGAGACATTCGGCTCTTGAATCGGGTGCAACCGCAACAAACAAAAACAAAACCATGAACAAGAAAACATCTCAGAGTGACTATGTGACTAAGCGTAAACAGAAAATCCAAGAAAAGACACCCCACAGAGACGATCACCCCTCTCTGTACCTGTGTTGCCCGCTCTGTGTATCTTGGTGATATCTGTCTGCTTATATGTCTGTCTATAATTTTTTTCTGGTTAGATTTTATGTCGCTATCTCATTATACCTGATGATGATTGCTTGTGTTGCAATTGAAACGTCGTATGCTAATATTTAATTATTTTTTCTTTATACGTGACTTTACCGAAAGAACCAAAGAAGAAAACGCACCGTGTACACCAACGCTGTGTGCACAAATCCCAGTGGGATGCAAGTCAACACAACAACCACAAGACAACTTAGATTAAGGCCATCAGTCTAACTCTGTACTACAACAAACAAACATGGCCAAACCAAAAAACTTTCGAAATCACCAAAATAAAGCCATGAAAGCAGTGAAAGCAATGAAAGGAAGAGGAGAGGAGAGAAGACGCCGCCGGGCAGACGAACCTCCCTCCCTCCTGCACAGGCCCGCAACGTGAATCCGCGCCGCGACCTCCGACCCTGACGGCTGCCCGCGTCACGTGACCCCGGCGCGTCACGTGAGCAGCGAGTCGAGTCGTCACGTGACGCGCGGCGCCACGTGACGCACCATGGCGCGCGTGGGGTTCGCTTCGCCGCTGCTGCTGCTGGACGGGGGCGTCTCCTCGGAGCTCGAGGCGGCGGGGTTCCCCTTGCAGGTGGGAGGGGTGTGGGGGGGGGGGGAGGGGGGTGTGGGGGGGTGTGGGGGGGTGTGTGGGGGCGTGTGGGGGGGGTGTGGGGGGGATGTGGGGGGGGTGTGTGGGGGGGGTGTGTGGGGGGGGTGTGGGGGGGTGTGTGGGGGGGTGTGTGGGGGGTGTGGGGGGGGTGTGTGGGGGGGTGTGGGGGGGGGGGGTGTGGGGGGGGTGTGGGGGGGGTGTGGGGGGGTGGAGGGTTCCCTTGGAGGTGGTGGGGGGGTGTGGGGGGGTTCCCCTTGCAGGTGGTGGGGGGGGGGTGTAGGGGTTGCCTTGTAGGTGGTGGGGTGGAGGGGTTCCCCGGTGTGTGACGTATGAGGGGGTGGAGGGGTTCCCCTTGGAGGGAGGGGGGGTGTGGAGGGGTTCCCCTTGTAGGTGGGGAAGGGGTTCCCCTTGCGGATGTGAGGGGGTGGAGGGGTGCCTCCTGCAAATGCTGGGGGGGGGGGTCAGTCATCTCGGTCAGTCGACCCGTGGCACCTGCTGGGTCTGCCCGTGACCTCCTCCTGCCAGCGGGCGTTCGACACTTCACGTGGCCTCAAGGTGCACATGGCCTGGCACAAGCGTCGTGGTGACGTCACCCACTTGGTGGCGAATGGCGGTTGTTGTTGTTGCTCCAGCAGGTAGGGAGGGTTCCCCTGCAGGTGCTGGGGGGGGTTGCCCCTGCAGGAGGTGGGCGGTGGTCTGTGCGGGGGGGGGGGGGGGTCCCCCTCTAGGTCTAAGTGGTGGGAGCGGGGGTGGGGGGGTACCTCCTTGTCTCTTCTTGGGCCTGGTGGGCGCGTGTGCGGGCGGAGGCGGGGGGGGTGGGGTTTAGATGGGCCCCCACCACCCCCCCCACCCCCCCACCAACCCCACCCCCCAACCCCCCCCCCCCCACCACCACCCCCCCTCAACCCCCCCCCCAAAACCCCCCCCTCACCACCCCCCCCCATGAACTCTGTCACGTGTCGTGCGTTGCAGGGTGACCCCCTGTGGATGCTCCCGGCTGCTGCTCACCCACCCGGACGCCGTGAAGGACGTCCACTGAGGTTCGTGACGTGCACCCAGTCACTCGCTAACAACTTCTTATCCACCCGCACTCTGCACCCCACAGTAAACCCATAGAGACGCATAGAGGAGGACCCATAGAGATGTGTATAGACTCATAGAGATACATAGAGAATCAGAATATGTAGACTGGAGGATGGGTTAGCAAGTTACATCAACAAAAATACGATAAAGAGATACTCGAGTAAGATAGAGAAAAGTTGAGAAGTAATTAAAAAAATTAATAAAGAGAAATATTAATAAGTATGGGAGTGCAAATTGCACGCGTACATGCATTACAAATGTGCATGTTGTTTATGCAATTTATTGTGCAAATTCCGTCACAGTTCCTATGATCACTGTTTCATTGCTTTCATGGCTTTATTTGGTGATTTCGAAAAGTGTATTGGTTTAGCCATGTTTGTTTGTTGTAGTACAGAGTTAGACTGATGGCCTTAATCTAAGTGTCTTGTGGTTGTTGTTGGTGTTTGACTTGCATCCCACTGGGATTTTTGCAACACAGCGTTGGTGTACTGTGGTTTTTTCTGCAATATTTGCTGCCTTTTCTTGGATTTTCTGTTTGCACTTAGTCACATATTCACTTTAAGATGTTTTCTTGTTCATGTTTTTGTTTGTTGCGGTTGCACCCGTTTCAAGAGCCGAATAGCTCACAGGGCTATACCTAATAAATGAACTTGAACTTGAATGCAGCTGGGGCAATGCTGAAAAACACAACAAACCAAGACCACGCAGTCTCTCGATCACAGTGCACCTTAAAATTGGACCATCGAGATACAGAGAGACACAGTAACGACAATCCACAGTCGTGTGATTGTGGCCATGGAGCCCGAACTCTGGACCTGGCAGTAAACCACTCGGCACCCCTTCAACGGAGGAGGAACAGCAGCACGACAGGGCTCTGTGTCTCCTGAAGCCCCTCTCCTCGTGGCCAGCAGCGGCCTCGACACTGGACGGTCACCGACTGAACGAATGGCTCCTGCTGCTCCTGCTGCTGCTCCTGCTGCTGCTCCTGCTGCTGCTGCTGCTCCTGCTGCTGCTGCTCCTGCTGCTGCTGCTCCTGCTGCTGCTGCTGCCGCAACACGACGCTGCTTCTCTCCCGCATGCCCCGCTGCAGAGACGGCCATAATGTTGGCGGTCCAAGCCCACCGCGTGATTTATCAATTCTCAAAAAAGCCGGAATATTTTGCTAAAATTAAGTGAAAACCGAGTTAAAGATCGCGGGATTTTTATTTTATGCGTGTGTGTGTGCGCGCAGTCATTGCTGAGCGGGCTGAGATCGTGAACGTACCGCGCTTAATCACGATTGGGTGGCTGAAACCGGGGATCAAACGGGCGGATCTCAGCCGTAAGTGGCTCCTCAGTGTCTCTGCCATGACTTTGGAAGTGATCTGCTCGGCTTGAGCCTGGCCTTGTGTAACGTAGATGCCGCACTCTCTGTAAGCACCCGCGCGTCTCACTGCAGGGCCCTTTCGTGCTCGTGTTCATTCCACGTGCGATGGATCCGCTTCCCACTCACTGCCGCCGTCACATGAGCCGTGCGTGCGTGTGTATTTTTGTTCTCCGTGCCCCGGCAGCTTCTGTTTGGCCGATGCAGGGGGTTAAACTAGCGCGGCACGGGCTGCAGAGGAGATGGGCTGATGTGGGTACGGGAGGATTTGGAGATGGTGGAACCGACGGATGACTTGTACCAATGTCATCAAGTCCGGTCTTTCATTCACACGGAGATCCGTAGACTCACAGACTCGTAGAGAGACCTATAGACCCACATCATCAAGACCCATCCTGTACTATGCAATGCATTGTGGTGCGAGTGAGGGATTGCACTTGACAGCAGTCACAATTAGGCAACTCACTTAGTTACCCACTCATGTAGCAGGTAGCCGCTGCTCTCGTGTGTGTTTTAGTAATTGCCAGGGTTGTTTATCTATTTTTTTTTGCATACAATTTTGAAAAAAGTTACCGTTTTTCCACTCGTATGGAAATGTCTGGTAATATACACGTAAACGTGTTTGACTTCATTAGCAAACAAATGAAGGGAGCTGCCATGGTGTACTGGTGAGCACACTGGACTTGCAATTAGCAATGACAGGCAAGATGTTAACTACCTCGCCGAGTATGCGGGAGGTCATGGGTTCGATCCCAACTGATGACATTTATATTTGGAGTTTGCATGTCTCTCTCTCCCCGTGGTCGCGTGGATTTTTCTCCTGGTCCTCTGGTTTTTGCCTCCATATTTAGAATCAACAGGCTCCACGTGATAAGCCACTCTGTCGAGCTATCATTGTGGCCAGTTCGCTTCTGAAAAAGTGCGACGTAGCTCAGTGGGCCTGACCTGGTAAAATAAAAAATATTTCAGTTTTTCATCGTTTTAGAGGTCACCGGTTCCGATCCATCTGCTGGCGCGGCACTGCAAACAAGTTTCTTAATCCCCCCACACTTTTGTCTGCCCAGCAGTTACGGGATAATAAACGCAGGGTACACTGCATAGTCCAGAAATTGGTACCAAAGGTAGCACAACTTGAGTTGTACCGACGTATTATTTGTGACCAATAATAGTGAATTACGTGATAACCACACTCATTTGAAGTGGTTATCACAACATTCACTGTTATTGGCCACATCGGGAAATTGGAACCGCTAAGTAATGCCACTTCTTCTGATGGTACGGGCACGTGAAATAATCTGCTCTGGCATCGTGGACTGACCGTGAAGTTGATTGGCAGGTCCCGCGGGGGCCAGCCAGTGCATACACGACTCCAAAATTCCACCGGAATTTAAAAGTAAAACAATTCCTTACTTTCAGAATCTGTAACTTATTCTGCAAAATGACTACCGGTTTTCCGATTCACATTTAGCTGCCCGAAGTAAATGTGGTGCTCCAACCCCCAGTTTCCACTCAAGTCCCCACGGAGATCGCAGAGCCAGGGCTCAAAGACCCACAGCTTTTAGGTCCTCATTCTCTGCAGCGGAGACACCGATTGCATGTCCAGCACACACACACCCCCCGGGCACTCTACGCTGCCGGGGGGTGTTTGATTCAGAGAGAGACGCTAAAAGCCTCTCCGCGCCTCAACACCAGTGATTCTGAAAGCTGATCGGACGTCATCTCCTGTCGCCTGGCTCTCGTGCTGTAGCTATTCAGTGTACAGGCAGTGCAATTGTACCCGGGCCTATGAGGTGCCCAGGTTGCTGAGCTCCAAACAGGAGGGTTGGGGTGGGGTGCTCATGCCAGCCTCGCTACGGCTTTGGCTGGCGCGGCTGCTCTCAGCTCTCGACACCGTCCCGTAGGTTGGCATCCATCTGTTTACAGTGAAACGTTAGTGCCCGACAGTGATGTCCATCACACATTGTGTGATGTTATTCCCTCTTGTCAATCCACTTCTGAATGAGGCCTTCCCCACGCTGTGTGGGTTATTTGACCGTCTTCTGACTGAACATTAGCCTGTGATTGCCATCAACTATTGGGTAGTGCGGTGGGTCTGATTGGTCGCGGATGATTGATGGGATCTCGAGTTATGCCGCTAGATCGCGAGGTCCTGATGGGTCGCGGGAGGGTTACGATGACGCAGCGTGAGGCCATCGTGGTCATGGTGACAGGGTCACGATTCGCGACGGGCTGTCGTTAAATTGGTTCGTGAAGTCGTGGGGGTCACGGTGTCACGCCGCCGGCCCGTGCTGCGGCGCAGGTTCCTGCGGAGCGGCTCGGACGTGATCTCGACGGCGACGTACCAGGCGAGCGTGCCCGGCTTCGTGACGCACCTGGGCCTGCGCCCCGAGGAGGCGCGCCAGCTCATCCACACCGGGGTGCGGCTGGCGCGCGAGGCCGTGAGCGAGTACATCTCATCCGCAGGCGAGCGCGACCAGAGACGCACCACCATCATCTTCCACGATCAATCAACTGCTGGATTAAATACTCCCCAAGAAGCCGCCACCACCACCTCTCATGATTCTGCTGCGATGCAATAATTCATCAACACGTGATGCACAAATTTATTTAATTGTTCTATCTTCCCGGCGGATGTACTATTGGCCGCTCTGTTAATCAAGTCAATTAAATGTTTTGCTTAAACACGTGTGCCGCTTCTCTGGCACAAATCTGCCACTCAAAGCATCATCGTCAAACTATTACTCAAATATAAACAAATAAAATGTTACACAATATATATATATAAATATATATTATCTGTAGTATAAGAATGCCGTGGTGGTGAGATGTTAACTACCTCGTCTGCTGTGCAAGAGGTCATGGGTTCGATCCTGACCCTGAAGCCTGTATATTTAGAGTTTGCATGTTCTCCCCGTGGTCGCATGGATATTTCTCAGGGTCCTCCGGTTTTTCCCTCCACATTTAGAATGAACACCATGCGTTTAGAGTATTTGGCTGCTATACATTTCCACGTGATAGCCACTTCGTTGAGCTATCCATTTGTGGCCACGTTGCTTTTGAAAAAGAGCGATATAGCTCAGCGGACCTTACTGGTAAAATAAAAGTTTAGTTCAGAAATATATTCTTGACCGTCATCCATCATTATCATCCACTAACATAGCAACACACGTGCCTCACAGCAGACAGCACATTTCAGACATTTTCAGGCAATGAATGAGCTTCTATACACGTGGGAGGAAGCCGGAACACCCGTAGAAAAGCCGCGCGCGCGCGAGAGGGACGCGCGTGTCCCCGCCTTCGCACCGCTGACGTGGCCCCTCTCCGCTCACACAGGTCCCCGCGAGGTGGAGGTGAAGGTGGCCGGCTCGGTGGGGCCCTACGGAGCCCACCTGCACGACGGCTCCGAGTACACGGGGGCCTACGTGGACGCGCTCTCAACGGAAGTGCGTGTTGCTCTGCTCTGCGCTGCGTCGTGTCCACCTTATGCTATCACCTGCTTCCCCCCGTCCATGTAGCCTGCTTCGAATAGGCAAGCAATCGGACAGGAGGCCCCATTTCATTGCTTGCCGCAGGGCCCATGCCGGCAACGCTACCCCACTGGTGCTCGTGCGTTGAGTGAGAGTCTTCGGTTCTACTCGTCAGTTAGCTTCTTAGAGCACTTATTGAGTGTGCAGGCAGTGCAGCTGCACCGGTAAGTATGGGCTGGAGGGTCTTGGGCACTCGGCTACGGGGGGGGGGGGGGGAGTTGGGGGGGGTGGCAACGCATTGCGCTGCTAGCAACACGTTGCGTCACTGGGGACAGCGGCCGAGCCTCTGGTGCCGGGGGGTCCTGAGCGGCAGTGGCGGTGCTGACAGCCCGTGTCTCCCACGCGCCCCAGGAGCTGATGGACTGGCACCGGCCGCAGGTGTCGGCGCTGCTGGAGGCCGGGGTGGACCTGCTGGCCCTGGAGACGGTGCCCAGCGCCGCCGAGGGCCTCGCGCTGGTGCAGCTCCTGCGGGAGTTCCCCGGGGCCTCCGCGTGGCTTTCCTTCTCCTGCAAGGCACGCGGAACACGCGACGCGGAACACGAGACGCGGAACACGCGACGCGACGGCACGACACACGTGACGCAATTGCATGTCTTGATCGGTGCTGTGCATAGACCACACGAACTATGAAGACATTGCACGTGACCCCGCGTCGCACCCCACGTTGACCCCATATCTTCTCCTACGTGACCCCGTGTTGCGCCCCACTTTGACCCCTTATCTTCCCCCACGTGACCCCGTGTCGCGACCCACTTTGACCCCATATCTTCTCCCACGTGACCCGTGTCACGCCCCACTTTGACCCCATTACTTCCCCCACGTGACCCCGTGTCGCGCCCCAGTTTGACCCCATCACTTCTCGCACGTGACCCCGCGTCGCGCTCCACTTTGACCCCATATCTTCCCCCACGTGACCCCTTATCGCGCCCTGCAGGACAGCCGCCACACGTGCCATGGCGAGGAGTTTGGCGAGGTGGCGCTGGCACTGGCCGCGCGGTCGCGGCAGCTGCTGGCCGTCGGGGTAAACTGCTGCGACCCCGAGCTGGTGGGCGACCTCCTGGGTGGCGTCGCCAACGCCAAGGGCTTCGACAAACTCCTGCTGGCCTACCCCAACAGCGGGGAGCACTGGGATGTGCAGCGAGGGTGCGTGCCACACCAGCCTCATGGGGGTATAAATCATCATGGGTACACCACAGCATGGACACACCAGAATCACACCACACCAGGGAGACACCACTGCTGCTACTGCTGCTACGACTGCTGCTACGACTGCTGCTACTACTGCTAATGCCACTGCTGCTTCTGCTATTCCGTGCATTCCTTCCGCAGGTGGGAGCATAGACCGCGCAGACCCACGCTGGCGACGTACAGCCTCGCGTGGAGGGACCTGGGCGTCTCCTGGATCGGTTCGTGCGCCCACCGTCCCGCACGCGTGCCGGCGATTTGACCCACCCGCCGTGCAGGCCTCCTACCCACCCTCGCCAGCGCTGCGGTGCCCGCGTGCCGGCCGCTTGCGTCAATCCACTGCCGGACGAGGGCCTCCCCCACAACCGTGCGGGGGTCGCGAGGAGGGTGATTTGACCGTAGCGGACGGCGCCAGTCTGTGTGGGTCGCTGAACGCAAGGAGCATAGATGAGGGAGCTTTGTAGAACGGCGACGGAATGGACCTTTGCAGCCCCTCCCTCTGCTGCCCACGAGGTTGCGCCGCAGCAGCCTATAGCACCTGTTGCGCACGGTACTCACCCATCCAAGCACCCACCCAGGCCCAACGCTGCTTAACTACGGTACAGCAATCGGTGCGCTAGCTTCTGCTGACAACTGCAGTCCAGTGCCACGAGGATTCACACGGAGCACGAACGCCACCGCAGCAATTGCTCCTTGCTCCCCGTTTGACTCGGGCCTCCACTGAAGCCTCGTCAACCCCACCTCCCCCCCCCCGCTCTGTTTCTTTAGCGTGTTTCTATGTTCTCCCGTGTCGATCGTTGTGTGTGTGACTTGTGTGTGACTTGTGTGTGACTTGTGTGTGTGTGTGACTTGTGTGTGTGTGGGACGTGTGTGTGTGTGACTTGTGTGTGACTTGTATGTGACTTGTATGTGACTTGTGTGTGACTTGTGTGTCTGTCTGCAGGCGGTTGTTGCCGGACGGGGCCTCAGGACATCGAGGAGTTGAGACGCACCCTGAGGCCTCAAATGCAGCCGCCCAGCACCACTGCCTGAGCTCCTCCTGCCTGGGCCTCCTCCCCGCCCTGATCTCCCAACCTTAGTTTCCTAGCCTTGGCCTCTCATCCCAGGTCCCCCAGCCCTGGTCTTGATATCACAGGTCTCCCAAACCTGGTTCTGCTATTCCAGATCTCCGAGCCAAAGCTGGTGTCATGAAACTCCGCACGGGCACGGAGCTCTGTGCTCGACTTGGCAGGCTCTGACAGAAGAACGTTCAGTGCATGTGTTGTGTTACCCTAATTTAAATTAATTATTTGCCAAAATGTGAATGCGTTCGACGTTCGTGCACGGTTGCGTTAAAAGAGAACAATGCCAACGCTGCCTTGAGTGTTCGCAGTGGAATCGTTTAAATAAACATATCAGAAGCGTGCGGGGCTGTGGTGTGAGAGTTTTAATAACACGGCCTATACCAGGCATTGTGGTGATATTAATCAACATCCCCCCCTCCCCCAGAAAAAAATGTATTTTCATCAATTGACTAAATCGAGGCATCCCTGGATGCCCGATCCATATAAAACCCACAGTTGTAATGATTCGTCAGGTTTATACTGCCCACTGGTGTCCAATCCGAATAGACTGGACAGACCAAGGAGCCGGCACCGGGGCAGCATTGTAGCCGTGTGTGCAAGCTCAGCCGCCCGGCTGGGTCGCTCACTCAGAACGACGCGCTGCACGTGTGCACGTTGTGCTTCTTTTGCACCGTACGTAGCCAACCGTGATCCGACTAGCACGGTTGTGTACGTGCGGTGCCAAATAAGTTTAACATGAAATTGGAGGTGCCGCAACGGAGGACTTTCTCTCTCGACTTGCAATGTTCTTTTTTTTTCTTCTAGATTTGAAGCTTTCGTGACTGCAAGGATTCATATTCTTAGGTTTTTTCGGTAAAAATAAAATAAAATTCACGACGTTTCGGAGGCAACATGATTGCTGTATCGCGCTGTGACGGTTCCACCTGAAAACGGAAGCTTGTGTTGCCTCCGAAACGTCGTGATTTTTATTTTACTTTATTAATTTAAATTTTTTTACCTACGTGACTTTACCGAAAAAACCTAAGAATTGCAATGTTCTGCTTCGCCAGACGTCCAAACCCCCGCGCTCTCTCGCGTGTCAACGCTCACAAACCACACCGTAACCCTGCGAGGACATTATTACCTCACTATCCGTTCCCGCATAACGCCCGACTCGATGAAGCGACTTTGCAGACCGTGCCCAAGGCCGAGCTGGCCCAGGTTTGGGAGCTGCTGTGGTAGAGCGTTGCACGGCCACGCTCGTGCACGGTCTTGTTGGGGAGGCTCGACACGTGTGGGCGCCTACGCCCTAGGTAAGCGCCCACCCCACCGTGGGATATTTGTAAGCTAGCCGACGGTGTAAACACACCGTGTGGGCCAATGTCGGGGATCATCTCGGACCCTCATCGCCGACCGGACGAGAGAGTGACTTGGAGAGCGGCTCGGGCTCCTGCCCTGCCTGTCTTGTCCACAACTCAAACGTCGGCCGTCTCCCGCTGCTCAAATTAGCAATGAGATTGGTGCTCATCTGCCGTGTAGAGCCCTGAGGTCTGTGGTGGAAATTCCTCATTTCTATGGCGGCAGCAGCGGCGAGTCTCTCCATTGGACAACCGACAAAATTCGTCGTCATTTTAAGAGACACCAGTTGAGACGATGGATTGAGTCGCCTCTCCCCCTTCAAACCATGAAATCGCAACCCTCTGGTTGCGAGCCACCGGCTCTACCGCTGAGCCACCTGGGCTGCCGCTCTCCTCTGTGGTTGGTGTCGACGCAGGGGTCACTTTGCTCGTTGTGTTCGGAGCAAAAAGTGGCCTCCTAAACACGCATTCCAGACAGCCATTAAATGCAAAGTGTCGGTAAGTTTCAATTCAGAATTTATTTATTTTTGACAGTAGTACCCTTGCATACATAATCTGAAGAAACGCTTCGTTTTTTGATTACACTGATGATTTTTTTAAGTTTAGTACACTTTTTGGCTTTAAAAAAAAACAACTGATCATGACGACCGATAAAACATTCCACGTATTCATTACAACGGAGGAAATAAACCCGCAAGATCACCTGACAACAACGCTATCGATCACGTCACACCTGTGACGAGAGAAGTTTTACATCGAGACTCCTCTCTGCAGAAAGAGCACGAGACAATCGCGACGTCGCGCAAACAACGCACCTCGAGCGGGGGGGGGAGCGGGGGGGGGGGGGGAGCGGGGGAGCCGGGCCACTCAGGGCATTCAAGTCCGGGCGAAACACGAAATTAACCCAGATCGACCACAGCGAATGTAATAACCTCCCTCAACCACAGTTCCCTGCTCAACTCGCCACTCCCTGCACCAGCCTCCCTGCCCTAACCCCCTGCTCAATCACAATTCCTTGCATCACCCTCCCTGCCCAATCACCACTCCCTGCACTCCTCTCCCTTGCGGCGAGTCACTGCACTCTTCCCTAGCCGCACTGTGCTCAGCCTCCCAGCCCTAACAGACCGCACACCGGTTGTAGCTGCAGCGGTCTGGGGAGTGCAGTCGACCGGTCCGTCCGTCCATCCGTCCGCGAGCCTCTGTAAACACAACGCTGCGAGCTGGGTGCAAGTGTGTGTCCCCCCCATGTACATGCGGTACGTTTATCAAACGTCTCTCTTTTTTTTTTGTTTCGGATGTACGAGCGAGTCACGCCAGAGCCGTGCCAAGCCAGCCCGGCGCGCGTCGGGAGGCGCCGTGCTTTCCCACCGCAGAACCCCCGAGCCGTGCCGGTGACACGTCCTTAGCCCTGCACCCTGGCTCTGCTTGGGCCCCGGTCTAAAAAATGCAGACGTCTTCTTGGGGAGGACCAGCAGTGCATCACTGTTTGCTTTGGGCTCTGCACGGCAAAACTAAAAGAATCCGGTGGAAAAATCACCCCCCGCGCTGGCCCGGCTCCAACGTGCCAGCGGGAAAAGGGGTGAAATTGTCACCTCTATACAAAGCAGACTGGTTACGACGGTATTTCGCTGTAAATAAGGCCCTCAAAAATATATATTTCAATATGAAATGTTTGCCATGCTCCGAATGTGGCAAAAGCCCTAATGTCCTGTGTGTGAGTGTGTGCGTGAGGTGTGCGGATGAGTGAGTGACCTCCCCCCCACGTATGTTCACACAGTGTTTCGATTTTTTTTCTGCTCGAATGCTCCATTCCCCCCCGCGTCTTATCAAGACACCGCTTGACTCTGTGCTATAGAAACCAAGTCGCGCTTCTTCGCGAGGGGAGGAACGACGTATGGGGCGCGCGTGGCTTCGGACCCTGGGGTCAATGACAATCGTAGCTTGTGCCGTCCGCAAGGGATTGCGATCGCGGATTATATAAGACCCTCGGCAAAGTAAGACGCACGCCAAATTCTTAGGCCAATCGAGTTGCGCAAAAAAACTGATCTCACTTAACACACGCGGCACACCTACCGGATTAATCCTAAGACACACCCACCCCCCACCCCACCCCACCTGCCCAGCTTTTGCTTTGAAATACAAGCAAAAAGGTGTGTCTTATAACCCAGAGAATACGGTAATTGTAAGTGCTGTGGATCTTATAATTGAACTTAGGTCCAATTGTTCCCCCCCGCTGCTACCCCCCTCCTGAATCTCCTCCCTTCCAGGATGGGGCCCCTACACGCTCCCATGATGACACAAGGACCGCACAAGACAGAGCACGAAAAATCCAGTGTCCGATCGGTGCATCTGCTCCGCAGCCCTCTCCCAATGCGTGCCCACATTCTTCTCCACCACTCCGGCTCAACGTTTAGACCCACACTTAGCTTAGCGAGCTCGGCAGCTCATTTTTAAGTCAGCATAGTGCATTACTCGAAACATCTACGGTACTCTATTTACATATAAAAAAGCGCACACACTCACATACATACACGAAACGTGTCATGTCAACCGGCACGAACCGGTTACAAAAAGATACAACGCACGAGACCAGACGGGCGGCAGGAGGGCTGCAGATGGGCCAGGGCGCACTGCGCGATGTCACCTTGTGCAAGCTGGGCCTGCTCGCGGCAAGGATAGCCGTGACAGAGAGGCTAGAGAGACCAGGTTGTCGACTCTGCCAGACAAATACCACTCATGACAACAAATCCCAATCACTACCCCAGACCAACCCCACCACTTCCTGAAAACCCCGCCAAAAAACAAAACCGTGTCAAAACAATCCGTATCATTTTGTGACGACACCTGGCCTGGACTAGTGCCGTGGCCTATGCGGGAATCGTAAAACGAGCGAGCTTCCTGGATTCCATCCGACTACCCCGGCAGCACGGGCCACGCTCTCTCGCTCGCAACGGCGCGTAGCGTGGCGCTGTCGGGGCACGGGCGCCCGCCCTCCCTTCCGTCACCCGGCGCCTGGACCCCTCCAGCCAGCCCACGGGCTCTGGTGCAGCTGCATCACCTTCGCGCTCGACAGCTCGCTCGCTCAGCCGGGGCTCGCAACAGCAAGCGGCACGCGCGCGCGCACATCAAACAATACGTCCTGCCGTTGTCTTCACCAACACTGTCCAGTAACAACAAACGTTGCAGAAGGCTTTGCTCAGAGCAGACAGAAGTAGAGCCATTGCCCAGAACGTTAGCCTACGGTGTTTTTTGTTTAAATGATAATACAGCGTTTATGAATTACATTTTTTATCCTGTGCTTGTAAAAGACACACTGCAGACGCAGTCCTCTAAGGCCCAAGACGCTCGTTTCGCTCGTGCCGATGATCCCAACCGAGATCTTCACCTCCCACCACCCGGGACGCAGCCGCTTTACGTCCCGCGCTTGTGGGTGTTCGCGGCTCTGTGCTCAACGCAGCGACCCTCTCAAAAGTCTCTCGCGGAACTGCTATAGTTCAGCGATCGCCTCCGACCGCCCGATTACCGACGGCGCCACATTGAGCGAGCGGCCATCGGCTTAAGCCGCTGAACGTCACGGTTGCGGCGAGCAGATGCAAGCACGCTCCACATGCGATGGTTGTTGAACGACGCTTAATCCTCCTGGAGGCATCCACTCCCAACTGGCGGCGACGGTGGCGACAACGTCGCCAACGGCGGGAGTGCTGCGCCGGTCGTGCGTACGCGGGGGGTTGAGCTTCAAGCCATGGCCGGGTCTCGACAGCGCGGCTGCGTTCATCGCAACGACCGGCACGCAGCCAATGGCCGGTGCCACCCTCTCTTCTCCCGTGTCGCCTCGGCTACAGCTGCGACAACCGTAGACGCGGAATTAAACGCCGTCTGCTGCTGCTGCTACTGCCGCTGTATCTGCAGCGAAGCCACTGCTGGTGCCCCGGTGTTTCCGAATCGCTCCCCACCCTCACCCACCCCGACCGAGTTAAATCTCATCCGGCACCGCCTCAACGTCG